AATAGGCTGTTCCCAGAGTGCTGTATCAAGGCACCTCAGTGGGAAGTCTGTGGGAAGGGAAAGTGTGGCAGAAAACGCTGCACAACGAGAAGAGGTGACCGGACCCTGAGGAGGATTGTGGAGAAGGGCCGATTCCAGACCTTGGGGGACCTGCGGAAGCAGTGGACTGAATCTGGAGTAGAAACATCCAGAGCCACCGTGCACAGGCGTGTGCAGGAAATGGGCTACAGATGCCGCATTCCCCAGGTCAAGCCACTTTTGAACCAGAAACAGCGGCAGAAGCGCCTGACCTGGGCTACAGAGAAGCAGCACTGGACTGTTGCTCAGTGGTCCAAAGTACTTTTTTCGGATGAAAGCAAATTTTGCATGTCATTCAGAAATCAAGGTGCTAGAGTCTGGAGGAAGACTGGGGAGAAGGAAATGCCAAAATGCCAGAAGTCCAGTGTGAAGCACCCACAGTCAGTGATGGTCTGGGGTGTCATGTCATCTGCTGGTGTTGGTCCACTGTGTTTTATCAAGCACAGGGTCAATGCAGCTAGCTATCAGGAGATTTTGGAGCACTTCATGCTTCCATCTGCTGAAAAGCTTTATGGAGATCAAGATTTCATTTTTCAGCACGACCTGACACCTGCTCACAGTGCCAAAACCACTGGTAAATGGTTTACTGACCATGGTATTACTGTGCTCAATTGGCCTGCCAACTCTCCTGACCTGAACCCCATAGAGAACCTGTGGGATATTGTGAAGAGAAAGTTGAGAGACGCAAGACCCAACACTCTGGATGAGCTTAAGGCCGCTATCGAAGCATCCTGGGCCTCCATAACACCTCAGCAGTGCCACAGGCTGATTGCCTCCATGCCACGCCGCATTGAAGCAGTCATTCATGCAAAAGGATTCCCGACCAAGTATTGAGTGCATAACTGAACAAGATTATTTGAAGGTTGGAGTTTTTTGTATTAAAAACACTTGTCTTTCATTGGTGGGATGAAATATGCTAATTTTTTGTGAAAGGCATTTTGAGTTTTCATGAGCTGTATGCCATAATCATCAGTATTAAAACAATTAAAGACCTGAAATATTTCACTTGGTGTGCAATGAATCTGAAATATATGAAAGTTTCATTTTTATCATTACATTATGGAAAATAATGACCTTTATCACAATATGCTAAATTTTTGAGAAAGACCTGTAGATAGATTGAGAGATAGACAGACAGACAACTACATCTGGCAGAGTGAAGGTAATGATTTGAAAATTGGAGGACAGAGGCAGAAATGAGTAAAATTATTGAATTCTGGGGGAGAGCTGTTAAAAAAAAGACTCGTCATCTCTTTCGTCTCTCATCTCTCTTAACAGCTATACTCATGAATCTAGAAACTGCAGGAGAAACTGTTCTACTTCAGCACTTCTGAGACTGCACTGAGCTATGGGTGCAGAAAGGTGATGGAGTCTCACCTGATTGAACCTGCGGGTGAAGGCCACAACATTTGGAGCAGAGCTGTGTTTCTCCTTCTTGTTCCAGCCGCAGCTCGACAGCTCCTGAAACAATTGATGAAATGCAGATTATGTGCAGAGTACTGGCATTTTGTATACACACACACACACACACACACACACACACACGCACACACACACACGCACACACACACACACACACACCTCTTACTAATGCATCTAGCAGATCCATTTGAGGTCAGGCGGTGGGAAATGGAAAGGAGGGGGAGACAAGGACGTGACAGCAAAGAAAAGAAGATGGAGAAAAAGACTGAAGATTCAAATAATCAGAGATTAGTAGATGGCTACAAACACAAACAGCTCAAAGTAGCTTAAATTTAGCTTTCAATAATTACTAGCAGTAATGTTTCTTATGTGACATGATCACGTAGAATATCTAAGTAAGAAAAACAACATTTAGGGTGCTGATAATAAAATATAGAGGGTAAATTAAATCAGACAAGCACAAACTGCAGTAAATTAAAAAGTTTCAACAATTATCAAGAAAAACAAAAACAAAAACCAAAGGGATGCTTTTTTCAAACAGGAAGTCGGTCCCAGCAGTTCTTCCTCCGATTTTGTCCTCAAATGGTGTCCCTATTGAGTTTGTTGATTCCTATAAATGTTTGGGTAACTTGGTCGATTCACATCTCTCTTTTAAGCTCCATGTGGAAAAACTAGCAAGGAAACTGAAAGTTAAACTGGGTTTCTTTTTCAGAAACAGATCCTGTCTAACTCTGAATGCTAGGAAACGCCTTGTATCTGTGACTTTCCTTCCCTCCATTGACTACGGTGACATTATTTTATGCTATTAGTGCTTAGTGTATTTTTAGTTGATGCTTTTCTTAGTTCATACCTTAGATGTTATCATTGTTTTTCTTTTACATTTTTATTGTTAGATGTATCTGGGACCCTGTGTACATAATTTAATTCCACCACATGTACCACATGAGGTGCGAACGACAATAAAGAATCTCTGACTCTGACTGATTATTTACACGAACGCTCCTACAAGCACCCTGCAGATGTTGGATGCTGTCTATCATGGTGCACTAAGATTCATAACTAGCTGTGATTATCGTACCCACCACTGCACCACTGGTTAACTGGACATCATTAACTTCACGCAGACTCTTCCACTGGTACATTTTCATTTGTAAATCACTTCTTGGTCTGTTGCCTTCATACATCTCCTCCTACATGTCTCTGCGTGAGTGTAGCTTCAGCGTGCGTTCTCAGGACATCATTACCTGCAGTTACCTGCATTACCTCAGTGAGGACTGAACTAGGCAAAAGGGCCTTCTCCTACTCCGCTCCCGTTTCCTGGAATATCTTACAAAAAGATCTGAAGCTCTCAACCTTGTCCTCTCTAAGTGGCTTTAAGAATCTGCTGGACTCCTGGCAGGGACCAACGCAGACATGTTCCTGTTTTTAGTTTTCTACATTCATTAATCTAACTGTTTTTGCTAAAAATAAATAAATAAAATTGCCATCTTATTTTAATTAGTAAAAAAAATAAATAAAATAAAAATCTGTATGCCTCTTTTATAACTGTCTATTGTTGTCGTTATCCACTGTTGTCATCATTCTTTGTTAAAATCAGGTCTCTGGTAAATGAGTCCTCGAGGCTCAATGGGATTAATCTGTCTAAATAAATGCAGGAACCCCATGCATGAAGCTGTTGCTGAACTGAACAGCTCGATCAGTGACAGATTACTGCATCCTAAATGCACAAAGGAGCGTTACCGCAGGTCCTTCCTCCCAGCAGATGTTAGACTCTACAACCACCATCACTGCTCACAACAAACTCAATAAGGATTAAATACATGTTGACCTCTGCTAAAACACACTCTGCCTATACTATTGTATTGTAAATAGTCTGTCTTTATCAATGTTCCAACACATATTGAACAATTTTATTGATATTGTTTATCTTGTTTCTTTATATATTGTTTTTAACATTTAGGAACTTTTGTGTGAATCTTTTTATCTGTTGCTGTTGTTGCTGTTACACTTGAATTTCCCATCCATGGGGCAATAAAGGCTGTTTCTATTCTATTCTATTCTATTCTAAAAGGTTGAATGAAATTAAACAATACAGGATTACTTTTCTGTAAAATACCAAATAAAAAGTCAAGTCACTACCAAAATACCAAAACAGTGTTGTCCTAATACATAATTCAACTTGGAAAAAAGTTGTAAATAACATTTATGGGGTGTTTCTGACTTCACAAACTGTTTCAGTATGATTAGGTTCTTAAGAGTTGTCATTTGTAGATTTTCTGTCAGAAGATTTTAAATGAAACATGTCTTTCTTAATACTAGTCGTCCAAAGTAGAGGCAACTTTGGAAGTAGCTGCAGCGGTTAAGTGTTTTTGGTACACTTGATAAAAAAAAACAAGTGGTGACTTTGGAACCTGAACACAGGAAATTCCAGCAAAATACAAACAAATATTTTAATCCAAGGCGATGGCTGAACTTGTTTTGCTCCTTCAACTGTTATTCTCAGCAGTAAGTCAAACATGAAGACCACACATACAGCGTGAGGGACAACATGGTCCCATCCTTTGGCCCCTGCAGAATGTTCAGGGCCCAGGGACAATGACATAACAGTAGGAAAAATGTTGTACGAGGCAAGCCTTCCTGGTTTCTAACAGTGCTGTGTGAGTCTGTCTGACTCTGGACACAATCTGAAGAACAGCTCCTCCACACAATAACCCCTGAGACTGTCTGAGAGCAATGGCAACCACCCAACGGCTCACAGCTTCCCAAGCTGAACACATCAGGATATCTTTTTGCAAAGAAATGCTGTGTTCATTCATTGGCAAGTCTCAGAGGCGGGGGATAGGAGGTAGCAGTATATCAAATGCAGATGTTAAAAGCAGACGTTCAAGCGTGGGTGAGGTAAAAAAAAAAATAAAAAAAAGCCTTGAGCCTGTAGAGTTAGGATGAGTATACAGAAGAAAAAAGGAGAACAGTGAAGCGCACTATAAAACAAACACTGGCTGAACATCTTCCCACAGTCCTGAGTGAAGCATGAATTTTATTTGGATGTGGTCACTTTAAAGAATTTATTTTTTATTTTATATATATATATATATATATATATATATATATATATATATATATATCTCTTACAGGATGCACACCAACAACTGATTACGGTAATTTTTTGAGCAAATGCAGTTTAGTTAGGCTGCTAAGTCTAACCCTCCCAAACAGAAAAATTAAGCAACAGCATACACAAAAAATAAAAAATAGGTGTATTCAGTCAATGGTGTAACTGTAGCCAAGAGTCAGACAACAACTACTCCAAGTGATACTCAATGCACAACATCTGTGTAAATTTTGTTTTAACTGTTGGAGTAGACTGTTGGAAAAATATTTCATGAACCACAGGACAGAGCGAATCTGCAACAGATTAAGTTTTGAACCCACACTTATTTAAATGGCTACCCCACCTAATGGAGATTATAAAGCTCCAAAATTACAATGACTCTGTCAATTCTACAGATGTTGAGCTAAAAGTTAACATGATAGTACAAACCGGATTCCAAAAAAGTTGGGACACTAAACAAATTGTGAATAAAAACTGAATGCAATGATGTGGAGATGGCAAATGTCAATATTATATTCGTAATATAACAGATGACAGATCAAGTTTAATCTGAGTAAATGTAACATTTTAAAGGAAAAATATGTTGATTCAAAATTTCACAGTGTCAACAAATCCCAAAAAAGTTGGGACAAGTAGCAATAAGTGGCTGGAAAAAGGAAATTGAGCATATAACGAACAGCTGGAAGACCAATTAACACTAATTAGGTCAATTGACAACAAGACTGGGTATAAAAAGAGCTTCTCAGAGTGTCAGTGTCTCTCAGAAGCCAAGATGGTAAGATGATCACCAATTCCACCATTGTTGTGCAGAAAGATAGTGCAGCAATACCAGAATGGTGTTACTCAGCGTAAAATAGCAAAGACTTTTAAGTTATCATCATCAACCGTGCATAACATCATCAAAAGATTCAGAGAATCTGGAACAATCGCTGTGAGTAAGGGTCAAGGCCGTAAAACTCTACTGGATGCTCGTGATCTCCGGGCCCTTAAACGTCACCGCACCTCAAACAGGAATGCCACTGTCAAGGAAATAACAGAATGGGCTCAGGAATACTTCCAGAAAGCATTGTCAGTGAATACAATCCATCGTGCCATCCGCCGTTGCCAGCTGAAACTCTACAGTGCAAAGAGGAAGCCATTTCTAAGCAAGCTCCACAAGCTCAGACGTTTGCACTGGGCCAGGGGTCATTTAAAATGGAGTGTGGCAAAATGGAAGACTGTTCTGTGGTCAGATGAGTCACGATTTGAAGTTCTTTATGGAACACTGGGACACCGTGTCATCTGGACCAGAAAGGACAAGGATAGCCCAAGTTGTTATCAACGCTCTGTTCAGAAACCTGCATCACTGATGGTATGGGGTTGCATGAGCACTTGTGGCATGGGCAGCTTGCATGTCTGGAAAGACACCATTAATGCAGAGAACTATGTTCAGGTTCTAGAACAACATATGCTCCCATCTAGACGTCATCTCTTTCAGGGAAGACCCTGCATTTTTCAACACGATAATGCCAGACCACATTCTGCAGCAATCACAACATCATGGCTACGTAGGAGAAGGATCCGGGTACTGAAATGGCCAGCCTGCAGTCCAGATCTTTCACCTATAGAGAACATTTGGCGCATCATAAAGAGAAAGGTGCGACAAAGAAGGCCCAAGACGATTGAACAGATAGAGGCCTGTATTAGACATGAATGGGAGAGCATTCCTATTTCTAAACTTGAGAAACTGGTCTCCTCTGTCCCCAGACGTCTGTTGAGTGTTGTAAGAAGAAGGGGGGATGCCACACAGTGGTAAAAATGGACTTGTCCTAACTTTTTTGGGATTTGTTGATGCCATGAAATTTGGAAACAACAGATTTTTTCCTTAAAATGATACATTCTCTCAGTTTAAACTTTTGATCTGTGATTTGTGTTCTATTCTGAATAA